AAAAAGGAGATTTATTGGTTTCAATACTCAGAGTCAAATGACTTTCAGCTAGAGACCGAAACACGACCTTTTTTCCAAAAATTCGCCAGTTCAAGATGGAGAGGAAACTTTATCAGCCAAATCTCTAGTAAGAAAGACATTATGTAGGCAATTGTTACTACCATCATCTCCTTTTTTCAAACCCTCTTCTCAACTCAACCCGGTTCCCTCCCCGTTATGTCAAATCTCTCTTCCATTTCCATCTCCCAATACCAAGCCAATTGGCTCAAAAGACCTCCAAACCAAAAGATTTTTCCCAGGAAATTGAACCTCCTGACCTGACTATTCCCCAATCATCATTTTCTCCAAATCCTAGCATACCGTACCCCCAAATTTTTAGCTTTTACCAAAGAATTCTACCACAGAGGCATCATTAGCAAAGAAATTAAATACTCATTGCTTTAACCCTAAAGTTGAGGGTGCAAGCGATATCAAGGACTTCAGACCAATTAGCCTTCTCAATTCTTCCTACAAACTTCTAACCAAAGTCCTAGCTACTGGGCTCAAGTCGGCCCATGGTGACATTATTTCTCCTAAGCAAAGTGGTTTTATCAACAATCTCCCTATTCTTTGATGAAACATATACAGCTCAATCCATTTCAAAAATCTCATGAAAACTCCATGACTGATTCTTAAATTAGACTACGAGAAAGCCTATGATTCAATGGACCGGTCGATCCTCAACCAAGTTTTGGTAAAGATGGGTTGTGGTGAGAAGTGGAGATATTGGATATATATTGGATGAATATCCTCTTCCTTTTTCTCTATACTCTTTAATAGTTCTCAAAAGGGCCACTTCTCTTCCTCAAAAGCTCCTTACCAAGGAGACCCCATCTTGCCCTTTCTATTTGCAATTGTGGCCGAGTTTTTCAGTGGATTCCTCTCCAAGCTTCATTAGTGCGCCATTCTTTCTAACTTCGGGCCTTCTAGATCTAGTGATCTCCCATCTCCAATATGCAAACAATACCCTGTGTCTTTTGCCAACACCTCTAATTACGATTTCTTAAGTCAACTATCTTTGGCTTTTCCAACATTGTTCAAAGTTTCCACAGGGATGAAGGTCAATCCGGCTAAATCTAAACTAATGGGAAATGCAGTTCCCCCTATCCCATCTTTGCTTTCGCCTCTAGGCTTGGATGTGGACAATTCTATACCAGCCAAATGTCTCATCCTCCTCTAGTGCCTACACAAACCTCGAAAGTCTCTAGGACCCTATCCTTAAATCGTCTCATGAAATCCTTCTTGTGGTCGGGTGACACCTCCAAGCACAAGATGCATCTTAGCTCCCGGAACAAAGTTTGCCAACCTAAATACTTGGGTAGCTTAGGTATCAGAAACCCAAGCTTTATGAACCTGGCACTGCTGGAGAAATGGTGATGGCGCTTTGCCAACAGTGATTGAAATTGCAGCCGCATCAGGCGTTATGCATTACACATCACAAATGCCCGCATATGCACTTTGGAGAGATGCGCCCGATTATGCCAAGAATCTCTGCATATGAGGCCACATCCTACATACGGTGCATAATCTCGCATATGCGGTCCGCCAATTTTTATGAAAATGGACCCCTCGGGCAGGGGTATTTAGGATGTTTTGACCCCCCGAAAAATGGGGGAAAGGGTTTGGGGGGTATTAAACAAAGAGGGTTTGACCCTTTCCTCTAGCAAGCAGTTTTCTGTCACCAATATGGATCTGACCCACTTTGTTGGTTCCTTAAAGAAGGCCAACCCAGTACTCTATAATTATAAAAGTATCTATGCATGGCGTCAACAATTTGGCTTTCATTGGATCCAAGGTGAACTGAGGAGATCGAGTATCTTTGTAGTCTGAAACCTCAAAAATGTGGCCAAATTTATTCCCAATCACCCGCCTCCCAAATGCCACGGTCTCAAAATGTTTTGAGTTTTTTTCCAAAATACTTGTATTTAGAATCCCACCTTCAAGGGACCACTCTCTGGCACAGAAACAAAAGACCTTCATGTCCTTTGTAATCTATTGCTGACTTGTTATTTTCCAACTCTAGACCTAACAAAATCACTTGGACACAATCCTAAATGAGTACTATCAATGTTTCTTCTTTTTACCATGCCACCTCCTAGACTTCCCCTAACTCCACCCCCCCTAAATGAAGTTCAGATTTCCCCTATTCCCCCCAAAATTTAGGCCTTTAGCTGTCTCGTGATCCTTTACTAATCAACTACAAAGAAGAGGCTTACCTGTCTCGAACCCATGATGTATGTGTTTGGAAGCAAAGGAAATTCATAGCCACCTCTTCCTGCATTGTAGTTATGTTGCAGCTCTCTAGACAACTTTAAAAGACTTCAACAAGCCATGTGTGAACCCCATAGGCCACTAAGAAACAATTCTTAGTCTAATAATCCCCCCAACCCCAAACCCAAAAGTTGGCATTTTCCTCTAGCAAGCTTCTGCACATGCCACTCTTTAGAGAATATGGGGTAGAGAAACTCAAGGACCTTCAAAGAACGCAGAGGACAAGATTGGGCATTCTAGGGTCTCCCCAAAAAAATTGTGATCTTTGGGGCATCAAATTGTAAACTTCTTAAGCACTTATCAAAGTTTGATTTCCTTTTAAAGTGCTCTGATAAAATAAAATTTAGGCCCCCTAAAGCCTCCACATTCTTCCTTATGAATCACCCCAAGTTAGGGCGCCATTAAACTGAATTCTGACAGTTGTTTCTTGGGCAATCTAGGATATTGCGGCTCAGGGCGAATTTTTAAGGATTCAAATAGAAATGTCTTGTACTCCATGGCATCCTTGGCACTAGCGACTACACTCCATAGAGGCCAATGCACTTTTGGAAGGATTGGAAAGATTTGATCCTTGTTGGTTTGTGTGTGTATGTGTTGGGGGGGGGGGGGCGAAGGACAACAAAGATTTGATCCTTGATGGTTTGTGTGTGTGTGTGTTGGGCCAATAGGAGTCAATGTCCTTGGCGTCTCTCATATTTTTTATCGCATGTTCCATCTCTGCAGACATCTTCGAGTCATCTTATGTCATATTTGGTGAGATGCTAAGGGGCAACAGATGATTTAGCTTAGGAGCGTGCTACCAATACATGAACCCATCATCTCCATGGCATTTTTTTTTTTTGAACTTTCATTTCTAAGATCAAGATTTCCTCTTTCCTCCCTCTTCTTTCTATTACAACTTTGCCCTCCTCTTCTCTTCTTCCTATTCTTCTCTTAACTACACGTCTTTTTCTCTCTTTCATCATCTGTCCTTCTCCAACCTTTTTTTGAGTTCTAAAGTTGGAAACAGTTGTAACAGGTGGGCTGTTTTTAAGACTCTAAGCCCCAACTTGTGGACGGCTGCCTGCACTCTGGCATTTTTGTGAAAATCTTTTTGTTTCTCTCTCTCATTTCTCTGCTTAGTGCTCTCCCATCCCCCTACCTCCACTGACCACCCAACTCCCGATTCCTACTCCTCTCTTTTTCACTGATGACTTTAGATATATCATCTAATCACCCAATATGTGGGTCACCTACACTCAATGTTTTTATATAGTTCAACTTTTTTATTTGTTTTCATTGTTCTACAGACCGCCCGGTATGTGGGCTGCCTTCTTACTTCTTGTGAGAAAATTTGTAATCATCATCATCATTTTAGCTTGTTCTCAATTAATTGGGGTCGGCTACAAGTCTCCATTCTACTCTATTAAAGGCCATATCCTCAGTGAGGCCATAAGTCCCCATATCTTTTCGGACTACTTCCAACCACATCCTTTTGGGCCTACCCCCTAGCCCTTTTCAGTCCTTCCACTTGAACTAATTTGTACCTCCTAACAGGTGTTGTAGTTGGTCGGCGCCATACATGGCAAGTTCTCTATTTGTCTCCAGATTGTTGTTTGCTCTAATACCAAAAGTAGGCTGCCTAGTTCCTTACAACCATCATTCTTGTATTATGTTTAGCCTCAACAGGGAAAGAGAAAAAGATAAATTTGTCTACCTAAAACTAGACAAAAGGATAGAGTGAAAGTTATCTTATGACAGAAAGATCGCTTGTACTAGGAATTATCTTCTCTTAAAGCTAATGTAGGCAGTCAATTCATTCCAAATTGATGGCTCACCTTTTCAAAACCCACAAAGGACAAAAATAGGTTTTATGTCCCCACAGGGCAATCCCGAAACACATGTTCCCTTTCCAGTTTTGAAGATCATAGACAATTCACATATTTCACAATATTGTTGGAGATTCCCAACTCATTCATGCCAATTGCATCTGATCTGTCTATTCTCATATATGATCATCATGAATAAACGACTAGTTTAAAATATTTGCTAAAAAAACCCACTAGGATTTTCATCAAATACATAAACAAACACCCCCAACCTTTCTTTCATGATGAGCAACCGATGAAGGAAAACTTGGCTGCCTCCTATAAAGATACATCCCTATCCAATATAAACCATACATAAATGAAATGCAACTGAAAACTTACAATATTCAGTCCAGTTGCCTATACAAAAATATGAAAGCATATCACCGATTTGTCTCTGTGAAGCAAGCAAGTATTTTACTCATATTGAAAAGTTGTGGCGCATGCCTAGGGATTCAATTGCCAACAGATAAAAACTTATAACCTACTTAAATCACTAAAACAGCTATGACTCCAAGCTACTTGAGGGTTCAGTTTAGTTTCTTGCTTTTCATAATAAAATAAAAACTGAAAAATTAAAAAAAATGTTAAGGATCAATAGTCAGCCCAATCAAAAGCATTCTTCTACATTCACCTCCTTGCACCAAAAATAGAGGAAAACATGAAAATAGAAACCTTCATGGGTCCTAAAGACAGAAGATGATCTAAAATATTATGTGTAGAATTCCACATATAGCACCTTGCAACGGGCGAGGACAGAACCATACCCTACCCTAAAATGCTCAAAAAGGTGCAGCTCCACATGATTTTAAGCCTTAAAAAGAAGCACAATATAATACTTACTTCAGGAATAATCCAAAGGGAAAGTTTTGCATAAAGAAGATCAATGGACACCCCATTGAACTTGAACTTCATTACAGGGACATGAGCATCAGGTACAGGATGCAGCTCAGTTACTTCGGGCATCTCTACCAACATTGCGTAAAGTTCTTGGAAGAAGTCTTCCTACAAACATAATCAGAAGGATGAGAAATTTAGTATGCTCATTTGCAAGATAGAAGACACATAAGACTCACTGTCATCAGGCAAATGTAGATTATACTTCTCTAGTTGCATGTCTTGGACCCACACAAAGAGTGTCAATATCTGCACCAGGGCCATGAACCTGAATAATAACCAGTTCAAGAATACTCAATGAGATTTACTAAGCTCAGTAAATTTGAACTCTCACTGGACTAAGAAGAGACAAGCCAACAACAGAAACTGAATAAGTACAGCTAAGCAAGTAAAAATAATGCATGCAATGGGATACCTAGTATTCAAATGCACTAAGAAGGAAGATAATCTAGGCTTTGGAGGATTCAATAAGAGTTGATAATCCAAGCTTTGGAGACTGAGAAACGTTTTGGCCTTTAACCTATTGGAATAATTAATAGAACAAATCCCAAGAGGAGAATTCACGGGGAAAGAAAGTAAATATCTGACGAAAGAATCTTACAATTCACAAGAATTCTACAATTCCAACCTGCAGAAAACTAACCATCTAAGAGCAGTCATTTTTGTACATTTTTATTCTTAGATCATATTATTCTATATCTAAAATTTTCTTAATTGCTTCTCGATTTCTCTGTGAACAATGTGCAAATTCAATTTCCAAAGTTAAAACATCACTCAAGCAATAAGTATCAGTTTGGGGCATTGCAAAGGCATTTCAGACTCGCAAGGCAAGGGTACCATTTGTCATAAACAAGGATACCTACTTTGGTAGATTTGTTTAGACAAAGACACCAACTTTGGTAGTTTACTTTAGTTTGCATTTCTCGTATTTCCCCTTTGGGTACAAGTAATAAACCAAAGCCCCGAGAACTAGCTTATAGGAAAAACTAATTACGGAGCAGTTTTCTTTTTCTTTATTTTGTACAGGAATTACAATCTGGTCCAAATTTCCATGAATTTTACGCCAAGTCCCTTTTTTCCATGGTTTTTTATTCCAGTTTTTCCCCAGTCTGATGTGTTTTTATTCTAAATTTCTTCACTTCCTACGAACTCTAGGGTTGCATGATACCCAAGATATTGGACAAACCCATTTCTGGGGTGGTTTGCTATTAGAAACATCGAAATACGCCATAATTTGCATTCTTTTTTATTGTACTTCGCATTTCAAATAATTAGGCCGGTTGGGTACCTCTAACATCAGACAGGCTAATAACGTCTAGCAATTAAAAACATACTTCTTTTATGAAGCCAACACAATCAATGATTTAATGATACTTGGTGCAAATTCCTATTGAGCAAACTCAACGATTCCAAGTGATATTTGATGTCCTTAGATATGTACTTGAAGATATAATATCTCTTCTGAACCCCATAAAAAACCCAATAAGCTTCAATATTTAAAACTCAAGCAAATGGCCTGTCTGATGTTACAGACAGACATCAGACCTGCCTAATTTTCTTTTCTTTCTTTTTTTTTTTAATTTAGAATGCGGTCCTATGCTGGAGACATTGAACAGGTTCAAGAAATGGGTTGGTCCAATATCTAGGGCAATGGACGACCCTAGAGTTCATAAAAATTGAATAACATAAAATAAAAAACTGGTCAGATTACGACATACAATGGGCAAAACTAGAACTAAAAAAAACATTAAAAAAAAGGATCTCGGCATAAAATTACAGATAACTAGAACAAAAACGTAAACCTGGTAAATAAAATGGGCCCGTACGTAATTTTCCCTAGCTTATAAAAATGATGTGAAGTATGAACTTGGGAATAAAGATCAAGCCTACATGCTCAAATCAAACTACTACACTCAGTGGCTTCTCAATCAAGGTTTAAGTATTTCTCGTGACTATGGAAAATCTAAAGTCATAAGAGTCAACGCCATCCAACCAATAGTCAAAACAATATTGGGAAGAGTACGGGATCCACTTGAACATGACCTGATAACAATGGTTTGTCTTTCTCTCCATCACCATCCAACCTCTGATTGGACAGTGATACACTCATGACAATGGTGTATGGAAGCCCAAAATTGATGAACATTAGAGTATACTTACCTTTGTTTAGATGTTATGTGCTACATAATTCCCACTTTTGACATGTATCTAATTTTCCAACTTCATCGAATCTTACATGTCAAGATTAGAACATAGTTATAAGGGCCTCAATTATCAATATCTACATCATACTGATATACCTTGTACTTGGAAGAACAATAAACAAGATAACAACTCTGAATTTGATGTTTTAAGAATATTTTCCAACCAGTCAGGGTCATCACCATTCAATAAATAGTCATATAGTTTTATGTATAGTGAGACCTACCAAACACCATCCAAAACAATGGGTTGTCCCTCCCTCCTGGCATAGTGAGACTTGCCAACACGATCCAAACTAATGGTTCTCCCTCCTTCCCTCCCTCCCCAGTCTCCCTCAGCATCTCCCTCCCTCCTCTCACCATCTCCCCCCCACCCTCCACGCCGCCCCACCCCCCCCCCTCCCCCCTCCCCCCTCCCCCCTCCCCCCTCTTTTCTCTCTTTCCCCTCACCAACAAACCATTGATTGGTCGGCTATAATCTAATGATTACAGATCATGGAATTCCAATAGTTATGAGGACTGCAGCATGCTCTCTCTTGTTTGGATATTATGCAATACATGCTCAAACCTTTGGACATGGATCTCGTTTTACAACTTCGTTTTGAAGCAAATATTGTAGTGTACTTCTTACTCCACATCAAGTTTCAATCACTAGGCTCAGGCTCAGGATCTGGGCCCTGCCCAAGCCAAGTAACTTGGGTGAGTCTTGGACATGTCTGAGAAGTGTCCCAGCCCAAACAAAGGCCTAAAAAATTGAATAAAAATTGTCAAAAAAAAAAAGTAAAAGTGAACTAAATTATAAATAATATTAAAAGTCTAACAAGAAGTGAAAAACTCTATAAAAAGCGAATTTGAAAAAAGAACTTGATTTATAGCTGCAACCAATTCAGAAAAATCCAAAAATAAGGAAAATAAAAAATATAGATATGATAAAATAACTCACAAATCAGTACAAAATATATTTTTTTACTTTTTTACAATCAAGTTCGTACAAGGAGCTCAACTAGGGAAGGTGTTAAGTCTGAGTTGACTCAGCTGAGTTTTAGCATCATACTCCACATTTGATGACAAGAAATATCTCTAAATAAGACAACTGGCAAACTTCCAACGATCCAGATACTTCTCTCTAGCTCACCTAATTACATTTTAAGCCCCTTAGGAAGCATCTAGAGAAGTAGTAGTGGAGAAGTTATCCTTGTAGTGATCCAGTTTTGGACATAGACTGCAGAGAGAAACTGCTCTGGTGCTTGACAGCAGTGTCCTGTACATTTAAAGCTTTGTTTACAACATGGTTTAGAAACTACCGAAGGTTGCCTACCTCTCCCTTGTAGTAGAATGGCTTTGAGGCCATCCTATGTTGGGTTAGCCCAAGGGTCACAAGATTTGCCACCTCTTTCCTAAGTCTACAAAGCATATTTGAAACGAGAAACAATTTGAGAATGATGTTCATTTCAAAGGACTGGCCTAAATGCAAGTGGGCCAAGGATCACAGCAGGAAGAGGTCATGTGATATTGTTTTGTCTAAGGCTTTATGGGGTGGGTTGAAGTACTCACTTTGAGCATTTCTGCCCTTAGTCAAAGGCACATGGGTTGATAGCGTGGTGAAGCCCACTATGGGATTTCTATATGATGCATTTAGATGGAGCTAAGAGAGAGATAGCCAAGGCTTTCGACAATGATGAGAATAACTATCGCCCAATATGGCAGATTGTAGAGAGAAAATGGGATATGCAGCTTCATCAAGCATTGCATGCAGCTGGTTACTTTTTAAAGCCAAACATTTTTTACTGATCCAATTATGGAGGCCTTTAATGAGTGCCTTAAGACGCTTCTTCCAAATAAAGATATCCAGGATAAGATACCTGCAACAAAGTTGATTTTATGTAAAGGTGCACTGAAATCATTTGGGAAGGAAATGGAGATGAGACAAAGGACCAAATCTGATTCAGGTAATTTATCTGATTTGAATAAATTTCTTTCAAGTTTCGACTTTCATAATGTATAGTTTCATATGATGTTCTACAGTTATACACTTAGAACTAATTATAAAGATTGTACTCTTCAAAAAAAAAAACTAATTATAAAGATGGCACACATATGATGTTCACAGCTAGCTTACGACCCGAGGAGTCACTAGGTCGACAACCACTGCTCCTGGATTGTAGAGGAGGGAGATAGAAGATCAGGATGATGAGGCCAATTTAGAAGAAACTTAGGAGAACGACCATTATGTTGAAGACGGTGATGATTCTAATGATGATGGCCTTGACTGGGAAGCAGGTGCCTGAGACGAAGTCAATGATTTGATTATATTATGCTTTGAAATTTTGGATTTTGAAATGTGTATGGAGATTGGAGTCTATGAAGTATGAACTATGTAGAATTGGCAACAGGCCAGGCAGCCAGGCCTGTTCGGCCCGACTGCTGAAAAACTAGGGCCTACGAGACATAATATGGCTTAAGGGACAGGCTGGCTTTATAGCGAACCAGGCTTTATAGCGAACCAGGCCCAGGCTTCAGCCAAACCCCCCCCCCCGCCACACAAAAAAAATATACATTAAAATTTCTATAAAGAGGTTTGTTTACCCATTTTATCAAGTCCAAGGTGTTATCTAAAAGACTCTAGAGATGGATAGGTCATAATATGTTAGAAACCTAAGTTCTCCATCGAGGTATCCATCTATAATTCCCTGAGAAAAAGAAGAATGTCCTAGGTAATTCTAGATAAGATAAGAAACTCCCAAAAAATGACAAGATTCTTGAATATGTAGCACATAACAAGAATGCAAAAAAAAGGGCCAGAAATTCTATATTTTACAGATGCTAGAAGACCTAGGAATGATCCTTAGATTGTCCAATGTCAGAAATTTGGCCAATGGCTTTCATCTGCATAAAGAGGGCAATACCCCTCAAACCATCCATTAGATCCCTTAGTGGGGGATACCCCGCAAAGTGTGAGATCTCCAATAAGGTGTATGCTTGCATTTTGAGTTTAATATGTTGAGAGTTCCTACACTTTATTGTTTGAAATTTGCCCCTCTGTCACAGCTACCAACACTTGAGGAGCAAGTTGCCCTATTAAGTACATACGTGGTTTGTTGAGCCAAGACACCAAAAGCCAAGGTTGGAAAACATGGGAGCCCAATTGTCAAAACAATTTCTTTTTAGGCTTTGGTTAAATACCAAACTGCCCTGGATACGAGTTAAAATACCTAATTTCACCCCAAAAAAAAAAGGAGACCAAACAATATACCCAATAACCCATACATTAGTAATACCTCTTTTCACAATCCCTTCAAGCCCCAAAAAGATTGGGCACAAATACCTTTCAATATCATAAGAAATCAAAAAATTTTGGATTTTCGTTCGTTCTTGGATTTCTCACAAAAAATCCCAATTTGAGCATGTTTTTTGCTTGGAATTGGTTCTCCAAGGGGTTCAGGGGGGTTAAAAATGAAACCCCATGTTTTTAATACAAAGCTTTTAGGGGCAAAACGATCAAAAATGCCCCCAACCGAGGGGCATTTTTACCCCTCTTTCTCTAATTTTCGCGGCCGCTTAGATGGCCTGCCTAGGCAGGCGCCCTCACTGATACATGGTTCACCATCCCGCCTGACTAAAGCTTGGACAATGCACCAAGACCTCTGGCTGCCAAGGCCTAGGCCGGCGAAGTTTCCAACATTGCCAACAGCACAACCACTCTAGAATTTTAACTCAGAATTGTTAAAGAACACAAGTCAAGTGCATCGTGGCGGTATGCATCACAACAAAGGTTTGCTAATCGAAGAAAGTGGAAAGCCAATATCGTAGCTTGTGGAGATGCTAGCAACGTAGAGGAAGAACCACATCAAAACATCATGACCCGTTAGTACGTTAAGTAACTTCTTGTAGTCCACCAGCACAAAGTAATGTTTTGCAAAGTTGGAAGCAAGGGTAGACAGCTTGAAGAGTTCATTGGACTTGAACAAGTCTCACATCGAAAATTAATAATCAAGCATTCATTAGGATGGCATGTAGCTCAAAATCCAAGGTGAGGGCTGTTCCCACAGGCAGCAAGGAGATGACAATGGCTTAAAGACACATGCATGGCTAAGACACCAAAGCTGCCAAGGAATTTGAGAACTTGTGGAGCATGAAATAGTGCCCTGAAGCACTTCAGGATTGACCTGAGAGAAAAGACTTGTTGTTAGCATATATCTCTCAAATGACCCAATGATTAAGGCGGCTTGCCCTGTAATTAGAGAAGCATGAACTTGTACACAAAGGCACAGAGGCTTGAGGATAAGAATTTGCGTATGATGACCATGTATGTCTCCAATGATGCAAGATTATGATGATTCCAAAAGTATGGCAACACTAGGCTAGGTACTTGCCCAATCCAAACATGGAAAGGCCTCATAAGGGAACATGGAGTCATGGACATCATTGCATGGACAAAGCAAGGTACAACACCATGGAGTCCAAAAGCTACATCAGACACGCTATTGGAAAAGAATTTAAAGGAGTATGATAGAAGAAAGACTGGGACAAGGGGTGTCCAAGGTCAAAAATCTCCAGACACATCTAAAAGGGAAAATGTGGGAGAGAGAAGCAGCCTAAAGAGGTGGTGGCACCTAATTACTAGAACGATTGAGAGGTAAACATAATGGGACAGGGTAGAAACGAGATTGGGTTAAAAATTACTCACCAATTTGTATTTGCCCATACACGGCAAGGGAAAATTCTAAGAAGGAGGCCTCATATTTTCTCCTAAAGCAATTAGAGGAGGAAGAAGAATAAGAGACTAAGACAAGAGATCTAATCCTGATGACTTCAATCAAAGAGCATGTGATAAAACTAGGCAAAGCACCAAAGCATAAAAGAAATATGCAAGATGTAACCATCACTACAATGACCATGAAGGAGATGGTGGACACAAGCGCCACATAAACTTTGCGGGGACCAAGAAGCTTGGACTTAACTTTTATAAAGGTCCCTAGAAGATGAAAGCAGTGAAACATATATAAAATATTATCAATATGACCAAGGGAGTGCAGCAGCATATTAGTAGTTTGTCAAGCATAACCGCCTCAAAATGGTTACCCTTGATGATTTTGTTGTCCAAGTAAGAAAAGAATTCTTGGATATGGCCAAGGCAGTTCCCACCCCTTTCTTAGGGGCTGAGTGTGTCAAGAGTGAAGTAACACCATGCATGGCTCCAAGACACTGAAATGAGGAGTTAGGAACCTCGCAGAAGATGTCATCAACCCTCTAACTAATGACTGGCCTCGAGAATCAAGTAATCACAAGAGAGACAACCATGAAGAGGATTGAGCCTCCTGTCAAGGGAGCACGAAACTTCTTGAGGTACATGACAATGGTTGCCTCATGAATGAAGCAGAAATGCATCAAGAAGGACATGCCAATAGCACAAAAGGAGTTTCGAGAATACTTCCACTGTTCCACATTAGCCAAACCTTGCTACGTAAGCAGAAAGGTTGTGGCAATATATGAATCATCAGGCACAGTCTAAAAAATACTCAGATAGCAGGAAATATGGTGCCCCTTGTTTCATAATGTTCTAACACTTTGAGCCCAGTCAGAGCCTATCAAAAAGGCAGTTTTCCGATTCCAAAGGTTTCTAGCATAACTAGATAGCACCCTATCATGATTCCAGCAACCTGATCAATTGTTGACCTGCTTAATGTATTTTATTGAGGAAACCTACATCTTTGTATCTTGCAAAACCAGAATTGAACAAAATGAGTCATGGTTAGGCCCGTACACCTTAGCAATACTTCGCAATATGCAGGAGCATTTGCAACAATCACAAGTACAGAGTACAGCAGGCATATATTACTGACAAAGAAGTTAGGCAAACCCCAATAAGATCCCTACCAGAAGTTGAAAGTAGTTACCCCGAGACGATAGGAACCAAATGTAAATATCTTAGCATTTGCTTCTTGAACAAGTTGTTCATTGAATCCCTTGGCTCGGCTCACCTTCTTGATCCAAACCTTTACAATCTGTCAATTAAGCAGTTGATACCACTTAGGAATAACAGACCCAAGTCCCAAACCAAAAGAAACCCCAACTCCAAAGTCACATTCTCACCTGGTCTAATCTTCCAAGCACTTCTTCTCGGCTTACAGATTCTTCTTGACTTTCATACAATCCAGCACCTTCAAGAAACTGATCATACCATCAACTGGTTCAGACTTCTAAATTGCCATATAGTTTTTTATTATATACAAACTGTCATTAGTAACTATGGTGGTCAATCTCTCACCCCATCTACATGTAACTTACTAAAAACACTGAAGAGTTCCAAGGCAAATATGGTAAATTAAAAGATAAAACAACAACAAAAAACCAACCTTTTCAAGCTCTTGGGTCTTCAAAACGTCAAACTCAGAAGGCCCACCCAAGGAAATCGGCTCTGTCACCCCAAGAATCCGAGTGGCACCAGCCATGAGACCGTTTGTTAATTTAGGAAGACCTCAAGAAGTTAACTTACCAACTTATCAATATAAGGAGATGCCTCCGCCAATGGATTTTCTTTTTTTCCTTTTATATTGTTACTCCAAGGCATCAATTCCAGACGAAATTTAAAAATAAAAAATAATAGAAAGAAAAAACATATTGGAATACTATAGTTCTCAGAGTTCTTATTAACAAAGCATTCATTCAATAGGAGAGCACGGGCATGGCCAGCGGCTACATGAAATATTAAAGAGACCAAAAAAAAAAAAACCTACAAATCTACTTATGTAACTCTATCTCTGATCCTCTAGAGATGGACCCTGAATATCAAGTGATACACTTCCCAATTTTAGGGTTCACAATTGCTTGGGGAGAACCAGATACAGAAGCGGATGAAATGGTACGAGAAACCCTAAATTTACAACACAACAAGCGTATCCTCTGCATTAATCTTGCCGATGAATCACGAACTCGTCGATCCAGAGAAAATTCCCTTCCCTTAACCCAAAGCCGATCATTCAACTAACACCTATACAATTGAATACTAAAACAAAACAAAGAGACAAGGAAAGATGAAGAACCAAAAATACCTTAGGGTAAAACTTGTACAGATTAAAGGAAGTTGCAGGAAAAATGCAACTAATAGATGGGTTGAAATCGCAAAAAAATGCAGAAAGGGGTGCGCAGAGAGAGACTAATTTCAATGCTTAGAGAGAAGCACAGTGCGTAAGAGAGACTCGGCACATTTTATCTCGCCGAGTCCCCATCGAATTAGAGTTGCAGCAAGAGCAAATATGGTGACCGCAAAATTGGCGGTTTTAAAATGGCGTATTCTGGAGCATGGAAGAAAATTATTGAAAAAGTCCCCACCTTCTCTAGAAAGGTCTTATATATCCCAATTCTCCTTTCTATGGAATGCTAGGGTACGTTTGGTTCATAATATTTACATATGTAAACATTTTATTTGTGTAAATATTTGCTTATGCATTTTTTTTTTTACCATGTTTGATAGGACATTTAAAAATCATTGTGTAAACAAATTTCGGATGTTTGGTAGCGTTTAGTTGGTGTGGAATAATTTACACAAATCTTGAATAAAACTTAATTTAATTTACCACTATTTAATCATCTCTCGTTCCCTCCCTGATAAACACTCTCTCTCAAATACAGAGAAAAAGAATGAAGTTCAATTAAAAAAATTGCTCTCTTCTCCCGACTCAACTCTCTCTTTCTCTCTCTCTCACTTTCTAAAAGAGAATGAGATCTTAAATACTAGCAGTATAGAATAATATCCATTACAATAATTGAAATAATTAAACCGCACAATAACATCTCACATCTTGGTACGAGGACTCCATTGATTAGAGAGAGCCGTCCTTAGCAAATAATTCATGCACAGCCGGTAAAGAGATGAGAGATTTGCAAATGTTTCAATCACAACCTACTACTAAAAAAATAAAATTCAGTACCACTACATAATCATGAAATGTCAATTTCTTCAAAAACATATGATAGATAACTTACAAACTAACACAACCTAGTGCCTATTTCAAGAGTATTACCACATTTGATTAGCAATCGCTTAACGCAGTCCTAGAGGGCTATCGGCTATCGGTATCATCCACATTTGGAGCATTCCTACTATGCCTCCGATGAGCATTTTGTAATGGTAGACATATGAAAACATGGCACATTTATAACTAAAAAGTGTGGGATTCACCAAAATGAAAGTTTCTCAAACAACTTCATCGGTTGTCACCGTCCAAAGTTCATCGCACGGCCATGATTGTCCGGTAGTGTTTCATTTTTCATCTTTTTTCTACAAATCAGAATAATCTAAAATTTGAAGCGTGTGTACATCTTAGTGAGCCGCACCTAATAAAATATGAAAAATATAATTCGTAAAATATAAATTGACCAAAATACCTTCATAAATTTCAGGGTTATTTTGGTCAATTTATATTTTACAAATTATTTTTTTCATATTTTTATTAAGTGCTAAGATGTACACACGATCCAAATTTCAAGTAATATGGATTTGTAGAAAAACAATTAAAATTGGAACACTACCAGACAACTGTGAGCGTGCGATGAAGTTTGGATGGCGATGAGGGTAAGTGAAATCACTGTTCATTTTCGCCTATAGACGTTGGGAAGAGTTATATATATACACATACAATAAACAGAAATACCCTTGATGATAAAAAATGAAAGAATGCTCTACACAATATTACTAAAGACAATTTCAATCTCTCTCTCTCTTAACACCCCCCTCAAGTCAAGCATGCATATTGTGCATTGAGAGCTTGTATGTAGACTCATGGTGTTTTGGCCATGTTAGAGGCTTGGTAAACAAGTCTGCCAACTGATGGACGAAGGGACAAATGACATGGAAATAATATTGTTTGAACACATTTTTCAGCACCTTGGTCCTTGATGCGGAATAAAGAGGAAGCAGATCAATAAAGCCTACAAAACAGTGGAAATTTCGACAGTCTCATAATGGCTCCAGAATTGGTCAAGATCTTCATCAGTACTCTAAAAGGCCATTTGTCAAGTTTCAGCATGATTAGACATGTATAAGAAAATGAACACAAAGAAACAATTTCGAAAATTTTGGCCTCTAGCACCCTGAAATAGATCCCATAACTAGATCTATATTTTTGGTGGGTCAAATTGCTGTGGGACTCCATAAATAGATCTAGCACGGTCAAAAATCCCTATGGGTCAAGTTTCGGCTTAATCGGGCACTCCAAGACAAAGTTATGGGTAAAATACCGAAAAGGGCTAGGCCGCATACTATTCCCGTGTGGCCACCCTACACCAAAACACCATTAAAGGTGGTTATTTTTACACTCACAGGTAGTGACTTTTGGGACCTATATCTCACTCAATCTAAGTCAGATCACACTCAAATTTGGTGAGCGTGTTCGTCTCGTCAAGACGAGCGATTCAATATGTGGTATGCCCGTGACGATGCCCGAGTAAGGAGAAAAACTAGAGAGAAGTTGCTGATCAGTGAAGAAAGTTGCAAAATTCAGCAGCAGCACACCCCACTCCAGCGACCAAATCACAATGCTCAGATACTCGATCGGCATGAAAGTAATTGTATTATGTGCATAAGGTATGTGGCTATCTCTAGCCCGAATGCCGCATATGATGAACGGTTGGATTTCACACAAAGGGGTCGAAGCTGCTATAAATTCCGGCTGCCGAATTTTAAGATTCTAGCAAAAAACTCAAGACGAAAAAATCTTCATCCGGACACGAAATCGAGCTACGTTTGTTGCAACGTGATCATGACGGCATGCTTAGAGTGATTCAGCGAAGAAAAAGAAGAAAAACATCAATGAATGAGCACACTAACGATCCGAAATTTTCAAAATTCATCCAAAATTCAAGTCTCATGGTTGTGGGTTAAAAACGCAATCCATGGCTCAAAGTTGGTATCAAATCGATCGCTATGCCGAGTCCTACAAGAAAATAATCATCTTTCAATCAAACAAGCATCAGAACAACCCCAGATCAGTAATGGAAGATCTCCCAAGTTCTCAGGCAGCAGTAGGGACTGTTCTAGATTTCCACACATTGTTAGGCAGGGGCAAAACAATCATTTTGCACCCATTTTTAGAATTTCTTTTAATTCAATAAAATTGTAATTATCTTCAATTTTAGATAGTTTTTGGGCGTCCACCCATGTTTGGGCCCAATTCTATATAAGCATGAAAAGCCAAAATGTAAAAAACCTTGGATTCATTTCTTTAATCAATCAATAAAGATTTCATATTTGCTTAAGCTCGTGGGTGCATCTTGGAGAGAGAGAGATAGAGGAGAGAGAAGAAAAGGGCTGGCACCCTTTAGTATGGTAATTTTCTCTCTCCTCCCCTCTTTTCTCATTTCTCTCTCTTCTTCTCATCTCTATCTCCCTTTTTCTCTCTTCTTCTCATCTCTCTCCCTTTCTCTCTCCTTTTTCTCATTTCTATCTCTTTATCTCTCCTGTTTCTCATCTTTATCTCCCTTTCTCTTTCATTTTTCTCATCTCTATCTCTCTTTTTCTCTCTTCTTCTCATCTTTATTTCTCACCCCACTCTCCTTCCAAACACAACCGGCGATGCTAGCGCCGACTGTGTCTTCTTTCTTCTCTTCCTCTAATACAGTCGACGAAGCTTACTACCGACTACATCTTCTCTCTCTTCTGTAACTAATACAGTCAGCGAAGCCTAGCTCCGACTGCATCTTCTCTCCCTTCTTTGTCTAATACAGTCGGTGAAGCCTAATGCCGACTGCATCTTCTCTCTCTTCTCTATCTAATATAGTCAACGAAGTCTATCGCCGATTGCATCTTCTCTCTCTTCTCTGACTAGCACAGCCAGTGATGGCCAACACCGACTGTGTCTTCTCTATCCTCTTTTCGTGAACACAGCCGACGAAGCCTAACGTCGACTATGTCCTTTTTCTCTCTTCTCTTTCCAACCCAGCTGACGATGCTCAGCGCTGGCTGTGTCTTCTCTCTCCTCTTTTCTTAAACACAGCTGACGAAGCCTAGTGCCGACTGTGTCTTTTTTCTCTCCTCTTTCCAACTCAGCCGACGATGCCCAATGCCGACTTTGTCTTCTCTCTCCTCTTTTCTTCAACACAGTTAGCGATGCCTAGCGTCGACTGTGTCTTTCACCCTCTTTTCTCCTTCCTTCTCTCTTCTCTCACACTCTTCTCCTTCTTTCTTTTTCTTCCTTTTATTCTTTCTCTTCTCTTTCTTATTCTCTTACTTCTTACTCTCTCTTTATGATTTCATTCTTTCTGTTATCCTTTCATTTGATTAAGAAGGGTTGAGATTAGCCTATTATGGTAGTCCTGTTGTCTAACTCTAATGTTGTTGTGCCATAATTACTATGCCCGCTTTATCGCCATGACCGACTAACCATCGTGTCTAACTAGTAAGTATCAATATTGACGTCTAGTAATAATCTTGTTGAGCTAGTCTGAGTTACCGAACCCTTTTTACTACCACGTCAGGCCAATTACCCACCAGCTTAGTCACTGTGTTGATCCCCCCGCATGGTCAAATTCTTCTCTTCCCCATCTTTCTTCTTTCATTCTTCTTTTCTTCTTTTGAACGTGTATGCTTGTGTACGTTCACCAAAGAGGCAAGGTGAGGTATGTTGACCCATCTGCCTTATAATATTTTTCATATGTGTGTGATTGTATAAAACAGGAGAATACAAGCCCAAGGAGGCGATTCCGAACCAATTTTATTATTGGGGGGACTTTCTTTGTGATCTAAGAGGGCGCTAAGGCGAGCCAGCCCGAGTAAGTCCCGAGCCAACCTTAAATTCCTCTCTCGTCGCTTGGTAAATACCTGCCCTTGTTCTCGAATGAGGTTTGCAAGAGAGCGATCTCAAAAGTTCCAGGTCTCCCCTAAAACCCGAGCCTCATGCCGCCTGATCACTCAGATCTAGAGGGCGAGATCGAGGAACCTAACCAAGCACCAGAGAGAACTTTTTCTCTAATAAAATGATGGTCAACTTCTATGTGTTTAGTGCGAGCATGAAAGATAGGATTAGTGGCTAGTCGCATAGCACTTTGATTATCACAAGCTAGAATGGTGGACTTAATTGTGGAAACACCAATTTCCTTGAGGAGCGTACATAGCGAAGTAATTTCTGTTGTGACAATACTCATTGCTCTATATTCTGACTTTGTACTAGATTTTGATACCGAGGCATGCTTTTTGCTACTCCAGGAAATTAAAATCTTTCTCAAAAGATACAAATTCTATAACGGACCTACGATCATAAGACACCG